CCCCCCCCAAATATGTTTTGATGCACAGCACGGGCTCTGCTCTCGGGGCCCTAAACTCATGAGAGGAGTCTTACCCTGCTCACAATTTGTATTTTCTTTTCTTTTTTGTAATCATAATGAAAAAAGCGGCCTTTCAATTCCTGCAACCTGTTTAAAAAGGAGGCACTTTGAATTCTCCGTGAAAATCTACCTGCTTCTGGTGTATCTAGAAATCATGGAAGTGTATGGTTAGGCCTTTAGCATTAAAGGGTTTGGTCTGTCATATGCGTCCACATAATTTTAATGTGTCTTTTAAGCTGCCTGACCGGACCCTTAGTACACTTGCGATAGCTTGTCCTAATTAGTCTTGTACAATAATGCAGCTCTGTATTGAAATGGCTATGATATTTGATATCTTCCAAGCACACTGAGTGAAGCGAAATAAACTAGAATAAAAGTGGTGCTTTATTCATGAAACTTGAACTTTGCTCCTTATCACGAGGAAAAATGTGTTAGATGTCAGATGGGGGTGGAGGAGAGCAGTCATTTAACAGCATTCTCACTGAATGCAGGCACTTTGAGCCAGTTTTCCTTCCAGTGATACTACTACAACTTAAGTAAAGTTGAAAGTGATTCTTTTATTTTATATTATTGAAGCCCAGACATACACAACAATCCCCTGGAGCACATTTGTAAGTGGTGACTGGGTGTTTTGAATGTGATCAAGTAAAAACTAGAATACATTTACTTGTGACAGTTAACACTTAATATAATGTAATCCCACAAGGCTTGTTCTGGGGCATAAATCTGCACCTGGTTTTATAATGGCAAGCTAACATACAGGGCCTTTGGGTGTCCTCCCTGCTGGTTGGTCCTGGCATCATCATGTTGTTCAAACTACCTAAACATAATCATTTATGCCTAAAACTAGAAAAGCTTTATATCTGTAATCTAGATATGTAACTGAAAACACAGTTCAGCAGCAGAAAATCTTGTCTCCTTATCCACCCAAAATTATGTCAGCAGTTTAAACTCGATCTGTACATAATCAATACTATTTTAAATAGGTGTAAAAATGATTGTTCTCATATTTATCTTGTTGCCGATATCTGCAGTTTTGTTTTTAACTGAAAAATATTTGAATTCAAATTACAATAAAGACTGGAAGCCTCAACAAGCTCACTTGTTTGGACATGCACTGCAATATCACACAGATTGCCTCTGGTTTCAGGTGATGCAATACTTAAATGTACTTTGATTCAAAGCGTAATAAAGCTCAAGTCCTCAATGAGGTGCTTTGTTTAGAATAATTGCATGCAATATAACCCTCACGCTGAAGCTGTAAGTACTGCTGTTTGTGTTAAGATAATTACCTCTGGTTGCAGGTGATGCAACCTAAATTGCCTGCCAGTAATGCTGACTATTTGCAAAAGGAACTTTGATGTATAATTACATGTAAGCACAGGAAACACCCCTGTAATCTGGTGTACTGTAGCTATATACAAAGCCAACACTTGCCTGTGGATGAATAATCTACCACTCATAACCTTAACCCCAGTCCTCCTTTACAGAAAATGTCTGAGTATTTTTAGATATGCTAATAAGATTAAGCTGACAAAATATTTCCTCAAATATGACCTTTAAACAAGAAAATATATAAATATATATATAATTAGGAGTCAGAAATGTTTGCAAAAAATATATTTATTGATCCCCTTTAAACTTGACACCACAGCTGTGCTTTACATGCACCCAGCGCAGCTTTGAAGAGATAAAACAGTCCTGCCTTTTACATTTCATCAGATATCCTCCTCACAGTTTGGTTTCAGAGGATTCCTTCATTTAGTAAAAAAAGCAGGAGACAGCTACTGCGTACAGGAGAGCACAGGTGGTGAGTTTAGGTGGCATCTATTGAAGCTGTAAGCGCAGTGGTGTTTCCCTCGTTATGAAGGCTACACACACATAGTGCTAAGCTGCAGGCGGCTTCAGCATTTACGACGAGGTTTTAATTCGTCTGGCTGAGGAGCTTCTTGATGTCTCCCTCGATGTCGATGGTGAGGAACCTCCGGCTGTAACGCTTGAACGGCACACCGTCCGGCCCGATGAGGAACTTCTCGAAGTTCCAGGACACGTCGTTCCTGCACACCGGGCTCCAGATGATCAGCTTGGGGTCGGTCATCAGAGACGTTGCGTCGTCGCTGGGCGTTGGGAGCTTGTCCTTCAGGAACGCAAACAGGAGGTGGGCGTCCTTCCCGTTCACGTCCATCTTCTCAAAGAGCTGAAACTTGGGCTCGAAGCCATTTCCAGGACGGACATACTTCAGCGACAGGAGGATTTCTTCATTCTTGCAGTTCTCCTGCACACAGTTACACTCTTGGCTCATTCTTATCGGGAAGAACAAGAAAATACAGAAGAAGAACTTCCCTGTTCCCTACAGCAAGTACTCAATATTATTTGAATCCCACCAATAACTATGTATCAATAAGTAACTAGTAACAATCACTGTGTAGTCCTTCAGCGCCTAAGAAAATATTAACCATTTTAAAGTATATTTCATATTGCGTAAGAACTCTATTTGTTGTAAGACGAAAATCTCACACACAGCCACAACTTCCTCCTTCCTAAAAATCACCAATGCTTTGCGCTTTCAGCTAATATAATAACAGCACTGATAACCTATGGATTTAGACGTGTCTCTTGTACTTACAAGCTGACTAATATTATACTAAAGCCCGATCTAAAACTTGCCAGTAAACTTGGAAACTATACAAGATTAAACCTTTAAATAAGGGGTGGAAATAACTTCCTCTAATTTGATTAAATACAAATAAGTCAGCCTCTTTCATTCAAATGAGCCATTTCCGGGAAAATATGATACATTAACGGTGAAAGCAGGAAATGTAGAGTAATAATACTTACAGAATGATTATTTCTAGACTGACGGGATAGAAAGGCCTTAGCCATGTGCTCCAAAGCGCAGACAGACGGGATAAATTTCTCACCTGATGGCCGAACTGGTTGCAGGGTACTCCCAAGATCACAAGCCCCTTGCTGGCGTACCGCTCGTGGAGCTCGTTCATCTGGGTGTAATCCCTGACGGTCGTACCTCAGAGAGAAGCGACATTCTCAATGAGGACGACTTTGCCCTTTAAGGACGAGAAATTAAACGTCTCCCCGGTCAACAGTTTGGCCGTGAGGTCGTAAAAACTTGTAGCCATTGTTTTCTTTTCTTTTCTTCCTCCTTTCTTCTGGTAGAGCAGATGCCTTCTTCACTACCGACACAGTGCGCTCTTCTGTTTCGTTGGACCAGCTTTATATGGTCAAAGAGCTTGTATTGCCTGCCAAGATAGTTCACTCCCTGAAATTAGTGGGCTGGTATACCACGCAGGGCGATAACCTGCTCCAAACACCCCTGAGAACCTGTGAATTGATATGTGTACATGTGAATTGATATGCACATGTACACTGTCTGTATTGATTGCACATTTGTGTCCTGCCTCTTTTCCACTGCTCCAATTTGGCTGCAGGTGCAAAGCCAGGCCTGCCTTGGTGCTTCTTCAGAACTAGCCCACATTTTCTAAATTTTCTGTGGAAACAAAATCAGCTATTTGAGCTGCATATGCATGTCATCAGTTGAGAGCAAAAAAGTAAAAAATAAAGAAAGTATACAATAAGTACAGTTAAAGCTGAATGTACATGCAAATACTTTGTAGGCGGACTGTCAAAATACACACTAATGTATTGTCATGAAAATATTGTGGGCTTCCATACAGGCTCATGTATAAATATGATTATTTATTTTTAATAAAAATATACTTATAAAAAGGATATTTATTAATATATTTTTTATGTAAATAAGTAATGTATTAACTCAATAAATTTAAATATTAGCGGGACAATGTTGTTGGCAAACTAAGAGAGACGAAGAAGAAAGCAGGGGGCACTGCAATAGCTTGATCCAGTGTACTCTTTGATGGAGTTGCTCGTCCCGGAAAGGCTGTTCAGTTATTAAGTATTCAGTCCCAAACGCTTAAGTATGACCAACTCATACAAACCGGCTGAGTGTTTGAAAATGAAAATATTGCACATTACTGACGGACTGCTGTAAATTACAGGACACAGATCAGTAAACAGAGTGACCTATAACGGTGCAGTTACGGCTGTATAGCTGAGCTTTTCTAGCAGCCAATAGGATGCGCGAGTGTGACGACACTGATGACGCGGAGCTGTTTGGCGCGGAAGTTTGTTTTGTAACTTCGGTGTTTGGTCGTCCGTGGCTTCGTCTGCTCAGTAAAAGTATGTCTACCATTTTTCATAAAAAACATTTCTGTCAACCTTACCA